GGAACTTTTGCACGACCCTGTATACTTCCGTTTTCAAAACTATTTGAACAAATCCCAAAACTCTGCAAACTTTTCACAAAACTTAACAGCCGATTTCATTGCTAACGTACGACAAGCGAAACACGAAGTGCGATTTTCATATCTTTACGCACCTTTTTCGAAACCAAACGTACGGAAAAGGGTAAGAAGACCGATTCGACGAGTGCGGACGATGGATGCATGGCTGACGACGGCAATATCTATCCTCCAAAATTCCTTCCAACCAATCACAGAGGTTCTCATCGTCCATAGTTGTCAGAGCTGAATGCTCCCTCTCAAACGTTGAAATAGTTTCTTACGTCGATACAGCAATGTAGTTGGCAGACAATAATGCTGACTGTTATTCAGAAAAATCCAGAATACCTAATCCTGAGTATTTACTTATGATTAATTTCTGTTACAACATAATCAGCTAAAAAGGGTTGGAAAGAGAGAAAAGAGGTCATTTTATGGTCATTTTTGTTTGTCATAAGTTACAAAATTGTTATGGCCTTGGGACCCATTTTATGTTCGTAGATATGTGTGTTCACTGGGAAAATCTCATGTTATGATCTCAAAATCTTTCCAACTTATGCTCGCTCTATTGGCTCCTTGAGGGGTTTTCGACCGGATGCAACGCCCTGCACCCTTTTGAATGACGGCACAAGTCAAGTGACTTCTCAAAATAACAGTCTGACCTTATTAGTGTGTGCGGAGATAGTAATGGGCTCGACCGGCAGAAACCGTGATCTGTTGTGGAGCAGAAATGTACAATTTCCTGTTCAACGAAGGCGAGAGGGGAAGAATGGGAAGGGGGGGTGAGGAGTTTTGTGCCTTCAAGCGGCACTTCGTCCATATATCTCATGCGAAATAATCTCAATGGGCGGTTTGATGATTTTTACAGGAAGAAATCTATGCTGGTTTGATCCTGGTTGATCACTGTTGAAACACCTGCCGTATACGCATCCACCCAACAACCGAGCCTAGATTGTATAAATTGTCAGAGTAGAAGTTGAGGACAAGAGGATAAGTCTTCAATGTATGATCCGCAAAATATTTAATGAACAACAAATATCACGGAGAAACGACGTCAGTGTATTGGCACGAGCACATCATCGACCAGATATAGCGCCATCTATTATATTTCAAATTGTCATACGGCATACGTGCCAAACGTCCTTCACCGAAACATAATTTCCAATAGAACACGATGCTCGTGTCCTTTAGAACGAATTTAAGGCACTCGCGTCAAAACTTAACGTCCTTAAAAAGTAACGTACGCTCCATTGTTTAACATTGGGGAGGTTCTGGTCGATTCGACCAGGTACGGCTGACAGGGCGGGCATCGATCCGCGAGACTCTTCGCCTTCCCATTCATAGTGATGGATCGTCCAGAGAGTTTTGCCGAAGGTGCCTTTTGACTCCAGGTACGTTAGAAATTGATCGCAGGACGTCCTGTTTCGACTTTTGGGGAGCGGAAATCGAATCTGGACAACAGGGGTGGCATGGGTACGTTAAGTTTTGAAAGCCATCATTCATCGAGAAATCGCAGACAAGTACAGGGTGATTCTTTCGTTTTAGTACCCTGCCTGAGTTATTCACGTTTTTTAGGGTACTAACACGAAAGAATCACCCTGTATATAAGGGCATCGCGCATTACCCTAGCCTGGCCTAGTTGCAAGAAGCTCACATAGTTTTTTCGATCCCGTACGTCCAACATGGAGTCTCAATGGTGAAATTGAAGCGGATCATGAATATACTTGTAATATTAAGCCCGAAAAAAAAGAGAAACCCATGTCTGGACTCCAGAAGCCTTCGTGATCCCTACGAAAAGAAGTTTATTCGATGTGAAGCCTAAGAATTTTTACCTATACCCTAAGAATTTTAAACCTAAAGAATTTTTAAGAATTTTCATTTCCATACTAGAAGCAGTGACATACACGTGTATATTACTGTATATCCTCATGGTTCAGGAGAGTTGGGGTTTTCCCCTCAGTCACACATGATCGTCTTTTTATTTTCTTTCTGTATGATACATACGCGAGAAATCTATGATAAGAATGAATACTAAAGGTACCGAACTATGCAATTTATCGCATGACGTTAATTTGAATTTAAAAAATAAGAGAAACCGGCTGAAGAGACTCTTTCTGCTTCTATTCCGGCCTCCTAAAGAGATATTGTAACCGGAATGCATACTGAGATTAGGGGAATCTTCAGAATAATTATTTTCACGGTCTCTTGTTGGCTGTCCATAGACATTCCTTATCTCGTACGTTAGAATATTGAAGAGCGCACGTTGATTTTGATAAAGGGACGTACTTTTGACTGTCGGACACACGGATGTGAGAAAAGAGCTCAGAGTTTTGCGGATCGTACATTAAGTTTTGAAAAATGTCCATCAAGATATGAAATAAGGCTCTAGCAATTGGGAAAAACTGTAAGATCATCAGCAGCAACGAAATTTGGCATGCTTCTTCCTCTCTGAACAGAGAATAGCTCCAGCAAATTTGAAGCTCCACCTCACCGGGGTTGTGGAGAACACTGAATTACGCTTTTGGAAGAGGTAAATTTCATTTTTTTTTCCTTTTTGTTTCCCCTCCACCCCCTTTGGGTAGCCACTCCTGGAGAGCTTTCAGAGGAAAGAGACAAACCATGAGAAAGATATTGACTCGTAGATGACGAAAAGTGGCCTTTTGTTGTTTGCGATGTACCATTTCGCCATGAAAAGTGAAATTAGCTGTCGTTCAATTAGGCTTAGAGCGATAGCTCCGGTACCATCCCCCAGTGTTGCCGGATGTGCCGAAATTACGCCAGATTCAACACTACTTCAAACTTCGTATCGGCGTCTGGCACTTTTTTTATGTGCAAAGCAATTTTTTTGCTCAGATCAGGAGATGAGCTGAGAATGAAACGGTGGTTAGCAGCGATTGATCGATATTTTGTGGGATAAGGAGGGATATCTTATCCGGTTATCCCTGAATCACCAGGATAGCGCGCGCCATGGATTGCATGCTTCCTGGAGGCACTCCCTTCTCAGACCTATTCGAGCTGGCTCGAGGAACTCCAGAAAGGCATAACGTTCCACGTCCCACTGAAGTGGTTCATGAAACGCAAAACAGACCTGAAATCGGTCTAACGTTACACGTCCTCATTGTCCTAATTGGCCCCGTCAGTTGATAATAGAGCTTTTATTAAAAGAAAAAACGGTAGGCCTTGGCGTAACTTCAATAACTGGTCAGTACTAACCTATTCAGAGTTACTTTTGGAGATTCAAGGTCCTGTGTTTCAGCGGCAATCCTCTGTACTAACACCACTGAGTCCTGCTGAAGAAGTGGTTACATAGGGAGATTCAGGTTATAAGGTAATTACCGATGACTGGAATAAAAGCAAAGCAGTCGGCGAAGGATTTGCATAACTACATACACGGCATACTTCCATTATGGAAGCAATTTTCACTCAGCTAAAAAGAAAAAGTTTCTCAAAGTGCCCCTTCTTCCCACTTTGGGAGGGAAGTTTAGTAGGACTACAACTAGGACTATGGCTTCTTGGGATCAACTTGAAAAAGGCGCCATATCCATGTTTTTTTTAATATGACTTGCTGTGTCGTAGTAAAGGAGATATCAATAAATATTTCAAAAACGTTGTAAAAGTCCAATTCGACCTGGATGGGCCGTGATGACCAGGTTTCATTTTGTTGGGCCATATTCCCCGAAATTACCTTTTTCTTTCTATCGCTTTCGCTCTCTTTTTTTGGACCTCAAGGTCCAAAGAATAGATAGAGATATGTAGGAAACATAAAACGGTAAAGGCGTTGACCTACCTCTGACTGTACTGATTACAGTACATGTCAGAGGATGGACAACCTCTAACGGTTTAACGAAGTATCCGCAACATCAGTACTTCTTTTCATCATTCTCTCATCAAGCTGAAGAAATGTAGACTTAAGTTCACGGACGCCACTATGTATTACAGTTCTCAGTGTATGAAACCATTCCGAGTTTCATCAGATATATATGAGCTTCATTATGGCCTGGGCTCTACGAACCAGTCTTGAATGTGTGGATATCAAATGAAGTGTCCGTGTTTATTGATTCATAAAATGAGACTTGCGAGACATATGGCGAGGTACTGAACAATCCTCCGAGAGACGCCTCCAGGGAAAGAGAGAAAGTAACTTTTGTGTACTCTGCGGAAAATGAGACTCTTATCACCATCTAGTGGCCAAACGAACAACTTCAAGGTGTTCACTTCAATACGAGCGATGAGGGAACATTTGGTGAGTAATAAGACGGTGTGACTCAATAGCTCACATAGTGCTCACTTTTTACTCCCAAAACGCTCGGAATTTTCTAAGAGTGTATGACGGAATTATGAAGTCACCAGTCATAAATTTTCTTTCGGGACTGCTTTTTGGAACTTGTTCATCGTTGAGGGAAATTTCAAGGTCAAGAATTAATTCAAAAAGACAATACTGTAATGCACCTTTTATTGATAAGATATCTTTGTCAATATTTTCCAATTTAAATGTTCCCAGTGACTTTCATTCCCTCTCGTATGCTTCGGAGCCTCAGGAACCTTGATGCTTCGGAACTTTGGTCATGTGGAGTACGATAGTTTTCCGAACTTTATGGCAACAAGAGTACGAGAAGACAACTGGTTCCAGTTACGAAAGTCTCATGCTATACCTTGAGACAATTAATTTGTTTTTTATTTTAGTAGGGTAGTGCGTACGTGAAAAGAGTTAAGTGATGATCTTGTAGTGACTTAGCTATAAGCATTTATTTTTCAGTCGGATGACACGGCTTTAACAAAAAATTATATTTAGTATGGTATAAGCCTATCATAGCTCATATCATCGATGAGCACTCAACTTTGACATTGGTAGTCAATACGTGGTAATAAGCTTCTCGTCCCGCTGAACCTATTGAACCTTGATCCTACAGTTATAGCCTCCATCACGCACGAGGAGACACGTCGACATGGATCCTCAGGCCTTCCTCACTGAAAATCGTGGAGAATTCCCCAAGGACTACGATTATGACATTCAGGCAACCAAGGCGTGGATGGAGGCGAATTGGATGCAAAATTGTGCCGCATTTGTGATCCTGTACCTCGTAGGCATCGTCGTCTTGAAGCGATACAGGGAGAATAAGGAGAAGCTGACATGCAAAGGACCTCT